TGATGGAGGAAACATATAAGCACTCTTAAAAGAAAAATTTTAGTAAACATTGCAATGATATTTAAAGCAAAACCATTTTTGTATATAAGATCTTTAAAAAGTTTATATTTTTCTTTTATACATAGCTATTTAACTTATGGCAATATCGTATGGGCATAAAATAAAATTTACACTAAACAAAAACATACATGTAGAATTGTATTTGGAGCAAAAAGAACTATGTCTTGTGAGCCACTTCTACGTAAACTCAATGCATTAAATGTGTTTAAAATCAACATTTCCTCGTCTTACAGATAACGTATCAAATAAAGCATGGACTGTCTCCAACGATATTCTATCCTTATTTTAGAGAAGTAAGTCATAAATACCCCACCAAGTTGTCAGAAAATAACTTTGTAACTCAAAATTATCTAAAGTTATGTTCTTACTCTATTCTGAACCGGGAACCAATTTTGTGGAAAAACTTTCAGTATATTATTAATATTAAAGAAAAAACATTTCTGCAATTCAAATCTAAATTTAGACGTTATTTAGTACTTACGGATTTTAATATAGCAGATTTTCTCAATCACTTTTAAAAGTTATTAAATTAAATTAGCACCATAAATTTTAAAAATCTAGACTATTTAACAAAAGAGCAAAGTAAATATTAAGGATTTCAATGTCTTTATCATACTTTCATTGAAAATATTTAGTCTTGAAGTTACCTTCAATTTTCTTTGATATATTATATGATATTGGAACAGAAATTTTATCACTTTAATTTCGAACTATTTTGAAAAAAAAATATATATGCAATATATATATCGAAATACGTTCAGTTTATAACCAAAAACAGAAAATATTTGTCATTTTTATTACTATATTTTATTCATTTTTTTATCCATTTTTATTACTATATTTTATTCATTTTTTTATCCATTTTTATTACTATATTTTATTCATTTTTTTATCCATTTTTATTACTATATTTTATTAATTTTTTTTATACTTTTTTTTTTTTTTTAATTATTATTTTTAATTTTTTATTTCTTAACATCTTAAAATTTTCTTTTTTTAAATGCTGTTGCTTATATATTAAGGATTATTATATATTAATGGTGCGCCACGGTGGTTAGAACACTTGCTTTATAAGCAAGAGATCCAGGTTCGAAACGAATTCTGGATATATTTTCGCGTCACGTTAAGGAAGGAGGCATGAACTTTCTGGTTAAATGCTCTTCCGCGGTGCTCTGTGATAAGACCGTTAGGTCTTCTTGGGGCACTTAAACAGCAAAAAAAAAAAATTTAAAAAAATAAAAATAAAAAAATTACGGATATTTATTTGCGTTACTATCGGGGCTCGGTGGTAAGGCTAATTTATGCCTTAATCTTGCTCCAGCCAATAGTAGTTTTTATGTTGTTGTACATTGTAAATATTTTTCACAATGTACAACAATATAAAAACGGTGAAATAAACTAATAAAACTAATAATTAGCTTGTGCTCAATCGGCAAAATAGCCCAAAAAAATGCCCCAAATTGTTTCTAAACTATTTGGCTTTGAGCACAAGGTAAATCTCAATATTTTGTAAAAAAGTTTTTTCTAATGTGATCATAATGGTCTTAAGTTTTTTTTTAGATTGTTGTGTATCCTAGTTTTTTCATAATTGTTTATATTAAAAAGAGATTTCACAAAAAAATAATTTTGCGAATACGCAAAAAAAAAAAGAATATTTTTTTTCTGCGAAATCTTTTTTTATTTTAAACAACAATTATGAAAAAACCAGGATACAAAATAATCTGAATAAAAAATCTGGACCATTATGATCACATTAGAAAAAAAAGTTGTACAAAATATTGAGATTTACCTTGCCTTTAAAGCCAAATAATTTAGGAACAGTTTGGGCATTTTTCGGGGTATTTTGCCTCTTGAGTACAAGATAAACGTCAATATTTTTGGAATTTTTTTTGTAATCGTATTTTTTTATATTTGCCCCAAATTTGGCTTTTTATATGTTTGCGTTTTGAAAATTTCATTTTTTCGAACACCCCTAGTATATATCGGTATTGCTGTTGTGTTTATCCCAACTTTAAAGTTCATATTTAATATTAATATTCTAATACATGGTGACAAATAAAGTCTTAGAGAGCGACCCTCTCTTTTTTTCCTTTACAAATAATATGAATTTTTATTATTTTTTTTAAATTAACTTGTATTTATGCTACATGTTTCTTTGTTTTGCAAATTATTTTATTTATTCATTTATATTTTTCCATCAGGTTAAACAACAAACGCAACTAACGTGAAGGAGTTTAGTAACTTCCAACAAACCAAAACTTAGTTAAGAAGAAAAGGGCCAGGATTATCCCGGTTTGCGCATCTGTGACATAAGAATGTGAAAAATATTTTGAAATTCAATATTGCTGTACGTAAGTTTAAGCGCCATTTTGGTAAAAGTGGTTTATTGAAAAAGAAAGTGAGGAAAGCTTACAGCTACCTAGACTCTCTAGAGGGGTGGTTTAAATAATTTTTACTGATTTATAACAGATTGCAACTTCACTTTTTGTTTTTAACACTTTACAAATTTGAAAATTATCAATGATCGTGAGATCAATATTGAATTTCAAAATATTTTTCACATTCTTATGTCACAGATGCGCAAACCGGGATAATCCTGGCCCTTTTCTTCTCAACTATGTTTTGGTTTGTATGCATTTAAAAATGTTCCATGTTTAAAGGAAAATTTTTCTTCAAATCATAAAATTTTTTTTTTTAATAAATTAATTTTTTTCAATAATATCAGAATTTTCAATAGTTAGTCAAAATTAATTTTTTTAATAATAAATTATTATTTATTGAAATAATAAAAAAGTGAATGACATAGCTGCAAAGGCGGCCCTTTGCATAGGCGAGATAGGCTTCCGTCTAGAGCCCCGCGGACCAGGCAGCCCTACGGGGCCCCGCACCTATACCACCTCTGGCCGCACATACTAACTAGCAAATGTGAAGTTAGAGCCCCGTGTGGGGCCGCGGCAGCCAGGAAGAACACTGTCCTGGCTGCCAGGACCAGTGGCGGATTAAGACTTTTTGGGGCCCGGGGCTATTTTTGTTTTCGGAGGCCTTTTTATGGGCCAGAGCCTAAAAATGATTAAAAAAAAAAAAAAGTCCTTTAAAATTTTTGGGGGCTTCTAAATTGCGGTGTCCGGGGCTAAACCCCCTCGATCCGACATTGCCTAGGGTCCCACAAATTTCGCCTAGGGCCATCCCTGCATAGCTGTTACCAATCAAATAAGTTTAAGTAACTTAACTTGTTATTACTTATTTTATTATTTTATTTAACTATATTTTCAAGTACTATTTGAATTATAGAATCGTATAAAAAAAATTGAAATACATGGCTCAATTGCAAATTGGTTTCTCATTATACTCCAATACTGTATCTAAAGTTTATTGAAATTTTCATCTAAAAAGAGTTGAAAGTTTTAAAATTCTTATGCCCCTCCTTAAAATAGACATCCCTCCTTGTTTTAAAATGTTGTCTACGTCAATGTATTAAGATGTAAGATATGTGAAATGTATCAGATTTGTACAAAAGATTGCCTTTTTAATTATAAATTTAGTAAAAATAAAATTCAAAAGAATTATGTATGCATAATTACAAAAGTAATAATTTACTAAATTACGCTGCAAATTATTATGGTGCGTTGCCAGTACAGATTATCAAAGCTGGTTCAGTAAAAACATTGCGTATATATTGAAGCAGCCGTGGCGAGGTAGTTAGTGGTTCAGAGATTCGAAAGTTGATGCTGGCTCCTGCCAAACAAGCGTAATTGGTAAGTAAGGAGACGTAAACTTCCTGTTTTGTAGATCTTAAATGCTCTTCCGCGTTAGATGCTTTGTGATAAAATCGTTAAATTTTACTAACGCAACTTAATAACTGAATATATGTGTGTGTGTGTGTGTGTGTGTGTGTGTGTGTGTGTATATATATATATACATATATATATATATATATATATATATATATATATATATATATATGTATATATGTGTATATATAGGTACTTTTATCTATCTATCTATCTATCTATCTATCTATCTATCTATCTATCTATCTATATATATATATATATATATATATATGTATATGTATATAATTATGTTGATAGTAATAATAAAATATTAGTAATAACAATAATGATAATAGTAATAATAATAACAATAATAATAATATAATTAAACTTAACGGTTATGCTCTAGATTTCTAAATATACTCCTCGTTATTATAGACTCCAAGATGATGTCGCAACCCATATATATTAAAAAGTTACAATCAGATGCTTAGTAGCTAAAAATTACGTATTATATAATAGCTTCTTTCCCGCCATATCCTGTTTATAATAGTTATTACAAAATTTTTTTTTTCTTATTTAAATAATAACCAATATTTTTAATAATGATTTTAACACAGCATCATTTTGATAAAATTATGATTACGAAATGCTTTATTAAACTATATGACATTTATCATAGCAACCATTTTTATTTGTGTATTCAAAGTAAACATAAAGAAGTTTATATATTTTTATATTTATATATTCATTTAATTTATTATGAGGTTAAAAGTATTTCTTAAAATTAAAAGTATATATATATATATATATATATATATATATATATATATATATATATATATATATATATATATATATATATATATATATATATATATATATATATATATATATATATATATATATATATATACATACATATATATATATATATATATATATATATATATATATATATATATATATATATATATATATATAAACGTATTTAATGTTGCTGATTTTTAGTTTATTTTTTAAAAGATCTGCTGTTTTTACTTACACATATTTCGCTTTTTAACTGAATTTTTAAAATACTTTCTTTATATTAGCAAAACACTATTGCAATTATTAGTTTATTGATAAAAAAAAATTATTCAATTTTGATTTCATTCGTTTAGATAAAATAATTGATCAAGTACTCATAACCTATAAAAAGATTGAACCAAATACAAACAAATATCAAACGTGTATCGAGTTTTTAAAAAAATGAATGCTCGTAGAGTTGTTCTTATTTTGCTTTTTGGGTTCTTGTTTTTGAATATCGCTTTTTTGACTGCTGCAATGTTAGGAGATAACTGGTGGTCAACTACATTAACAGAGAGAAACGATCGTTTTGGTTTATTAAGACAATGTATGACTCTTCCTCTACAAAGTTCTCCCGAGCTTTTTTGCTCGTTTCGTGAAAATGCACTGAAATTCAATAAAAACAGCGTGTATGAAAAAGGTTGTTGTTGTTTTTGTGTTAACATTAAAAAAATAAAAAAAATTTATTAGTACTAAAAAACAAAAACAAAAAAAAACGACATGTTATTAAACCCTTTAACTATCAATTTTTAAGTTTGGGCGCTCATGTTTTTCATTTATTTTATTATTTTTTATATATTATTTATATAAAAAGTTCTTTTTCTCTATGTTAAAATTTTTTCATTGAACAAAACTTAAGTTTATTTAAAGTTATTTTATCAAATTTAATTCTATTATTTTTGATTTAGAAAATTTACCTTTATTAATAGTTTAACCTTTCGCAAATATATGTAAAATTAAAAATACGTTAACGTATATTAAATAAAAATAAAAAAATTTAATTTTAATGTTTTAAGCTAAGTTTAAAGTTTTTAACTCCGTGATTAACTATTAAGCTATTAGAGTAAACTGAGTTTATATACATGTCATATTTATCTATTATTTATATATACTTCCTTGGTAAATATATATATATATATATATATATATATATATATATATATATATATATATATATATATATATATATATATATATATATATATATATATATATATATATATATATATATATATATATATATATATATATATATATATATATATATATATATATATATATATATATATATGTATATATATATATATATATATTATCATGAAAAATAAAAATTTTGAAAATTATTTTTTTTCAGATTTGGATGTGGCAGCCGTCCTTAACATTGTGTCTCTCGGTTTCTGTCTAATTGCAATCATTGTTTTGATACTGACACTGCAGTACCCATTTATTGTGTGGATTCCTGTTCTTGTTTTTATATTTTTGACTGTCTCTGGTAAGTTTTATATCTTAAAAAAATTGTTGTTATTATTATTATTATGAACAGTGAATCGTAGATAGAGATTTTTGCGAAATACAAAATTACTCAACTCAGTATATTATAATACAATTATTTAATTTATTATAAATTACACTCATAAATGTAAGCATCATTTACTATTCCTTTGGTGGATCAATAAATACTTGTTGCTTGTCAAACCGCAAATAAAAAGTACGTACCTAACAAACTTTTTCTAGAACTTTTAATCCCGAGATTTGGGAACAAAAAAATAAATCCCGTTAAATCCCGCATTATTTGGTTTTTAAAAATTAAAAAAAAATTTACAACTTAATAAAAGTAGATTATAACATATACCCTATGCGCGCACTACTTTCGGTTTAGTACTGATTCAATACTTTTATTTTGGTTTAGTACTGATTCAGTACAATTATTTTAAGCAATGATTAAGAACTCCGATTGTGTGTTCGTAAACTTGTGAATACTAGTTGAGTAAGTAGTGATAATCACGGTTGATTTAACATCAATCAACCAGTGATTTAGATACTTATTGTAAGTAGTGATACAGTTCTTATTATATAATATAATTTTGCTATTAAATATTAGCTTATTATAATCACAAACAAAGAAATATTGTAATATTTTACAAGTTAGGTTTATTGATAAATAGCTACTTGAACGCCAAAATTTAGAGGTCGCAGAGATAACAGTAATAAAAATAATAATTTACAATCATTAATTTATTTTTCAGAATTTAGTTTAAGTTATATTTCTGAAAAGTTTTTTCTGACATTTTACAAAATAATTTCTAAATAAAAAACAAATATATTTACAAAAAAATAAATCTTTCGTCTTCCTGCTGACAAACGTCATATGTAATTTCTTGGATTTATACTGGCATGGAATCCGTTACTTTTTGTTATTTAATTGTTTTGTTGATAGATATGAATCTATCAGCAGAACAATTCTTCATAAAATAGACGTCTGTTCTTTATTGCTAGAAACCAATCTCAAAAATTTGGCTCTCGTAACTTCTTGAGAATCTTTAACAATATCTATAATAAGTGAAAATCTGTTATTCCACCTCTCTTTTATGGTTCAGATTTTATCACCTCACCTAAAGACAAAGCTGAATTGTTTGCAAAGAACTTTTCATCAATATCATCTCTTGATTTCAATAGTTGCGTTCTACCTGATACAGCCGAGAAACAGGTTAATCTATTGCTTGACATTCATATCACTCAAGCTTCTTTATTTAAAGAAATTTCCTGCTTAGACCATTCTACAGCTTGTGGTTCAGACAACATACCTGTTATAGTCTTGGAGAAGTGTTCTCCAGAGCTGCCTTCTAAACTTTCAAAACTATATAACAAGTGCCTATTAGAGTCTTTTTTTTTCAGACTGCTGGGAAGCGGCATCTGCTATTCTTACTTTCAAAAACTCCTATCACAAGCAAGGTTTTTGAGTCTTTAGTTAACAAAAACTTAACCTCTCATCTTGAATCAAATAACTTACTTTCTGAATATGGATTTTGATATTCTTGTTCTACAGCTGATTGCCAACAATAATGACCTATAGATTTTATCGTGCATCAAATAGATATGTATAGGATAAGGCTATCGCTCTTGACATTTCTTAAGCTTTTGATAAAGTTTGACATGCTGGTCATCTCCATAAGCTCTCTTCTTACGGAGTATTAGGTAACATTGTTAAGATTATTGAGTCCTTTCTTTCTAATCGTATTAAAAAAGTTGTCCTTGATGGATAGCACTTTTCTTCATATCCAGTCACTTCAGGGGTTTGTCAAGGTTCTATTTTTGGCCTTAAACTCTATTTAATTTACATTAATAATCTTCCAGATACTCTTACATCTAAGGTGACTTTGTTTGCTGATAATACTGCCATTTATTCCTGCCTTGATAAGAAACCGACACTATCTGATTGCATGGAGGGGGTATTTGAGCTTGAAAAGGACCTCACTTCTGCTACAGCATGGGGCTTTCAGTGGCTGGTAAATTTTAAGTCAAATAAAACTCAGTTTTTTTTAGCTAATTGTTTACGCACTAATTTAGATCTTCCTATATTTATGAACGGTAATGCACTCAATTCATCTTCCAAAAAAGATTGGAAGTAACTTCCTTCATCTTCCAAAAAAGATTGGAAGTAAGAATCTCTTTTTGTCAAGGTGAAAAAACGCATTGTAAATATAGTTGAACCTTCTCTTGCAGCCAAACTTCAACGATTATCACATAGTCGTAATGTTGCTTCTCTTTCTATTTTCTACAAATACTATTATGGGTACTGCTCTAAAGAGCTAGCGTCTCTTGTGCCATCGACTAAAATTCAATATCGTGTTACTCGCCATTCAATTAAGTCTCATCATTTTACTGTGACTGTTCTTAAGTGTTCCAAAAATTCTTATTTACATAGTTTTTTTCTCGAACATCAGTTCTTTGGAATTCGCTTCCTTCATCTTGTTTTTCTGTTTCATATAATTTGCAATCTTTTAAGTCGTTTCTTAATCGTTATCTTGCTCAACAAACTTTATCTATTCTCTTCCAATAACTTCCATTTCTAATATTGGTTGCTTGTAGCCTTGTTGGAAGTGAAGGTGTTGAAAAAAAAAAAAAAAATCGAGGCCAATCTAACAAAATAAAAAAGCAGAAAAAAGAAAAAGTTAAGTAATGCTGTACGGTTTTGCCAGCTTCAAATATGTGTCATGCTTTCTGATAAAGATTCCAATTCGCTCAAATCAATTTTATCAATTGTATCTAGAGCAAACGTATTTCAAATATCTGACACTGTATACAGTAATTCTGAAAATTTATTCATAAGACCTTTTTGATTTCAGTTTAACTTTCTTAACTCTATATTTATTTATATATTTATATAAATATATATATATATCTATATTTTCTTAAAACTTATATTGCGTTTTTCTAGATAACTGTAAAATATTTACGGTCGCACAACTTATTTTATTTTAATTTATCACATATATATATTTTTGTAAAAAACTAATGGTTCCAAAAAAAAAAAAGGATCTAAAAAAAAGATTTTCAAGTTAGAACTAGTTAAGTATAGGAGCTTAAGCAAAAGATTTAACTCATGGACCCCAACGTGCGAAAGATTTGACTCTATAAACCCCAACGCTATTAAAACTCTCCTGTAATATCAATTTTTGTGGTAATAAATTAAAAAATTATTCCAAGATAATCACTGCAAAAAAACAGTTGTATCTTTTTCTAAACGAATATCTCAATACAACTTATAATTAAATTTTTTTATTGTTTTGTAAGAAAGAACTTTAACTATATAATTTAATGCAATTATGATACTCAATGACATCTTCAACAACTACCTACCTAACCAACTACTCCACTAAGACCTTTTACGCATTTTAAAAACACTCTGGATGGTGCATCAAAAACAAATACTTTAATCACAACCTTCAAGTCTTCTTTCTCATTCATTTTTTTCTTTGAATACAATAACAAATTTATCAATGTATTTTGTAAAAACTGAAAGCTTTCTTTCACCATACCATAAAGAAAATTGTACTTTACTGGTTTAAAGTAAATAATATATAGTGCATTAAATTTTTTTGACAATTGTGCAAGTGCCATTATACCTTATATTTGTATTTTGCATTTATTTGCACTTTAATCATATTAAAAAATTTAATGAGGAAGTTGATGAATTTTAATGAAAATGCAGATAAAGAAGTGGGAAGTGTTACTAACACTTAGTCTAAGTAGATATTATTGTAATATAAGGTAGATAGATATTAAGTAGATATTATTGTAATATAAGGTAGATAGATATTAAGTAGATATTATTGTAATATAAGGAAGCTCTGGCTTTTCCAAAGCCAGAGCTTCCTTATATTACAATAATATCTACTTAATATCTATCTACCTTATATTACAATAATATCTACTTAGACTAAGTGTTAGTAACACTTCCCACTTCTTTATCTGCATTTTCATTAAAATTCATCAACTTCCTCATTAAATTTTTATATTGCTACGTAATAATAAAATTAAATGTTTGCAGTAATTGAGTGATGATTGTGTGGTTATCACTAGTAATCAATCACTACTAACTCAACACTACTAAGCTGTATTAAAGCACAAACGATGCTCAAAGGGTAATAAGGTACAGCATTATACCAAAAGGTATAGATAATTAATTGTCTAAAATTAGATTGGTAAAAATGGAGATGTAACTTTTCTTTTAAATGCTCTTCCACAATGCTCTGTTATAAGTTTTTCTGGGTCTTCTTGAAGCAATTTTTAGTCTCAATGACTAAAAAAAAATTTAACAGTTACTCAAAAGTTATAAACTTTTTTAAGATTATCAATTTTATTCCATCACTTTAAATTTAATTTTATTCCATCTTTTCAAAATTTATTCCATTTAAATATTACCTGTTCTCAAACAAAAAAGTACACAGGTGCTCAATCTTGATTAAAAGTTTCAGGTTTTTGTTAGAATTCTATTTAATCTTGATGGAAAGTTTCTTGCTGTTGGTAAAATTCTATTTAATCTTAATGGAAAGTTTCTTGCTGTTGGTAGAAATCTATTTAATCTTAATGGAAAGTTTCTTGCTGTTGGTAGAAATCTATTTAAAAAACCTTATTAAATAGCTAGAGCGATTTAAAAAAATTTTAAAATTAGTTTGTCTGAGTTATGAATTGGTGTCAGTTAATTAAAAACCTAACATTTGCTTTTAATTTTACATGAGATTTCTTTGTATCCCTAATGATACTTTTGCCTAAAATAGTCTAAAACTTTATCAACTGTCCACAAATTTAATATGATTAAAGTGCAAATAAATGCAAAATTTTGCATTTAGTTTAAATCTGCGTTTTAATTTATTTTTTATTGCCGTTAATTTAACTTATCAGATTTAGAAACAATAACAAATAGAAATGCCAAAATCTCGTTAAAATTGAATTGTATAGTGTTTAGCTTAGCCAAGGAATTCAAAAAAT